AATAATAATAATAATAATAATAATAATAATAATAATAATAATAAAAATTAAAAAAATAATAATAATAATGATAATGATAATAATGATAATAATAATAATAATAATAAAAGTAATAATAATGATAATAATAATAGTAATGATAATGATAATAATTATTAGTACATTACTATTATATTTCTATTCTTATTATTATATTATTATACTTTGTCATATCCGTAGAAGGCTGGCCCTAAATTCTGTACAATGCAAAAGAAGTTGACCAGATATTATTGCGAAATTCGCCTTAGTTCCCGAGAGAAAGTGATACTTTTTCACCTGGATGTGCAATAATCACCTGGCCTTGGCCACCTTATCAAATTAGGAAATGTGCGTAGGTTCCAGAGATTGACATCAGCATTTCATCTCAGGGAAAACCACCCACAGCTAACAGATGTTGCAGCTACAGATTTCCTGTAGTTTTATTACAGTTAAGTTACTAAAGATATTATGTGTTTATGACGCAATGTTAAAAACATCAGTGAAGGTTAATAAGGTTTGCCTTCACCTGGCGAGTCCTATAAAAGACCCGATATCGCCTCAGACAGATCGAGTTACAACGACCAACCATGATGCTCAAGACTCTCCTTTGTGTGTCAGCTTTCGTGTTCGTCGTCGTGAACGTAAGTAAACACACACACACACACACACACACACACACACACACACACACACACTAACACACACACACACACACACACACACACACACACACTTACACACACACACACACACACAGTTCCTGTATCTCACTGTCTCACGAGACAACTTGCGGGTGGGGGAGGGGGGAATCGCATTAAGAAATATTCTCGTACATTAAATTAATCACAGGCAATATACTTGTAAGCATTCATAATGCGGATGGTGGGCGGGTGTTCTGGTGTGGTTCCCTCCTAGTTTCCCGCTAAACACCTGTTGAATTTATTCTCTACTTCTTCTTTTCTGTGCATGTCACTCGTTAGTAACACGTCTACTCTTCTGGGCGTGTGAAACCTACAGTGTAACAACTGCCGTAAATTGTTTTCCAAGTGCCAAAAAATAAAAACCACTTGGACTCTTTTCTGTGTATGTCACAATTTTAGTAACCCATCTAATATTCTGGTATGTGTGACCTAAGTGTGCAACAAGTGCAGTAAAACAAAAATACGTGGATTCATTTCCATGTATGTCACTCTTTAGTAACCCATCTCATTTCCGGGGCTTTTGTGACCAAATTAATCGTGCTGTAAGCGACGTAAAACCAAACCACAGGACCTCCTACATTGACAAAGACTGTCCTCCCCAGGCCAAGGTTGGTGACGTATGTCAAGACGTTAGCGCGTGCGGCCAGGAAGAATGTTGTGTCAAGTACGGACCAGACGCGGGTGAGTCATGATCCTGTAAGATTTAGGCCTACCTTGTGTAAGTCGTTACTGCCGTGTCACTGTTATCTGTCCTTGACAAGGGACCACCAATCCTGTAGTCCGGTTGAGAGAATTTCAGTTATGTCTACCTGTTAGCTTCGTTCACTCAAGACTGGTGCCCGTGCTATTTGGTCATGCGCGAAGCCTTTTTCGTTGGCCAGGTGTTCTAACGTTTACTGCACAAAATGTTGACAAAATAAAATGTTCGATCCTACAGTCCCAACCCATAGTACACGTCAGGTCGATATCTTCCACCATGTAGTGAACTCATAATTTAAGACAGATCATTTGCACATCAACAGCTAAGTTGTAAACATGATAAATTTAGAAATACAGAAATCAGAACCACATTAAAGGGGGGGGGGGGGTAATTCGGCTCAAAATCATGGAATTTGAGTTGTAGGCATTTTTAGCTTCGTCAGCCTCTCCTACAACTATTTCATCGCAAAAGAACCCCCAAAAACCGTAATTTTTCCCATACCGGGCATGTTTGTAACCGCCATTTCCTCATTAAGTCAGTATTTTATTTTTCTTTATCGGCCGTTTTCTCAAAATGCGACTTTTCTCTATACTTTTTTAAATAACTCCACTATTTTCCGTCCAATCTTCATGAAAATTTCACAGAATGAAGAGAAGAGGTAATAATAAAACTTTTCTTTGTTGAATTTTTTATATATGTTATACATTTTTGTTGGTGGTGTCTGGAGTGTGGATTTTCACGGATTTTTCGCAAACTTGAATGTTACCTCAAGAAAAAATTCTTTAAAATTTTCTAATTCGATTAGGAAAAAAACAACAGACAAATTTTTAGATCTATAGTCTGTGAACAGGCATGAAAAAAACCCAATCAATTTCCATCAGCGATAAGTGCGGTATTCATTACGTAAGACATTTCAATAAAATCCAATATGGCGGCGTATCCATGGAAACTAAACTTTTTTCTCAAATTTGATTGCGGATTTTAAGACTCCTTACTATGCTTGTTATATGTGTTGAATTTGGTAAAATTCGGTCCAGTAATAAGCGAGATAGCCTCCAGGTGTAGTCTCCCCCCCCCCCTTAATTAATGTGTCCACTTAACTGTATGCCTGTTCTTTCTTTTTAAGTTTTAAATAAAGAAAGCAAGTCAGTAAAGTTGTGTTTCTTTTGAAAATTGCCCGAAAACAGCGTGTCTTTTTGCATTGTCTTACAAACCAAAATGAGTATTCTTTATGAGTTAACGCACTTTCATGTTGATAATAATAATAATAATAATAATAATAATAATAATAATAATAATAATAATAATAATAATAATAATAATAATGATAATAATATTACTCATAAAATAATAATGATAACAATAACAATACTAATAATAATAATAATAATAATAATAATAATAATAATAATAATAATAATAATAATAATAATAATAGTGAAAATATACTACCACTATTACTACTACTACAACTACTACTACTACTACTACTACTACTACTACTACTACTACTACTACTACTACTACCACTACTACTACTATTACCACTACTACTACTACTACTACTACTACTACTACTACTACTACTACTACTACTACTACTACATTTGTACTACTACTACTACTACTACTTCTACTACTACTACTACTACTACTACTACTACTACTACTACTACTACTACTACT